CGAGAAATCACCCCCAGGGGGGATGGCCACGCCGCAATCCATTCTCCTCCATTCTCCTCTCAGGATCTTGAGCACGCATGCGCGCCCAGCCTGAGTTTAAGCCACTGGGTCTGGGACTTGAACCACGGTCAACTACGTGGGAGTCCAGCAACATAGCCATTACACTAACTGCTGGTCCCTGTGTTTTTCATGCTGTGTTATCCTCAGCCAGTCAGGACTGCAGGCACATGCATGGCGTGTCCAGGGACACACGCCAGCACCTCCCCCTGTGGCCTCAGCATCACAGAGCTCTGCACCACCGCTGCTGCATCTCTGCCACGCTGGCCAAACTGCAGCCTCTCTGTACGGCCCTGGGGGTGCGGCCTGTGTAGATGCTCCTGACAGCCTGACCCATCGGGTCGACATGGGGCCGGAGAACCTGTGTTCCTACCAGATCCCTGGGCCGTGCTGATAATACTCGGAGTCGCACCGAGCTCCTTTCTAGCGGCTGTAGAAAAAGCAGAGAGTGGACCGGGGGGTTTTTTTTTTTTAAGAGGGCGGCTTCTGTTCACCAGAGGGATAGAGAGAGGTGGCAAACGTGAGAAAGCACCTGTACCCCCACCCATGGGGCGTGCTCCCTCTGCATCGTCTCCTCTATCTGTCCCCTTTCAGGATTTGGGGCACATGTGCACACACGTCCTGCAGGGTTTTGAACAGCTGGGTCCAGGATTCTAACTATGCAGTCAGCCGTACAGGACCAGCTGCCTTACCCCAAGGTCACAGGCCGGCCCGAGAAGGGGGGGGTTTCATAGCGTCAGCCGTGCCCTTTCTCAGCCCTCATCCAGACCAAACCACTTCTGCCCAACAAATGAGTGTTTCTTACACAAACACATGGCGAGGACCGCCAGAGAGCCAGGATAGCGAGCAGGGGAGGAGTAGCACAGCCCCACCGCCCCGGAAGAAACTCCAGCAGAAAAGACGGACTTGTGTAGGCTAACTATTACTCTGTTTTAATTTTATTTATTCATTCACTTATTATTATTATTATTTTTTAATTTGACCAGAGAGAAACACAGAGAGAGAGAGAGAAAGAGAGAGTAAGCCACCAGGTCTGGGACTCGAACCATGGTCGGCCATGTGGGAGTGTCCAGTGCCTTAACCACCACGCCACCTGCTGGTCCCAGCAAGGCTAATTGTTACTATGAAGCAGAGTGGCCTGTAGTGAATGCTAAACAGAGAGGCAGGAGAAGTCCTGGGGAGCCAGAGGAAGGACCCCGAGGCTGCGCCCCACTGTCTCCTGAGCTGAAATGGCCCCTGGTTTGTAGGGACGTGGTAAGGGGCCTCCTCAAAGTGCCCTTTTGCGTTCAGGAGTTGAAGGAAAGTTGGAAAGAGTCAAACTGAGAAAATACTGGGCATAGCTGTGTAATAATAAGCCGGTTTAAAGTGAATTCCACTGCCCAGTCCCACGCTCTAGTGGTTTAGGGAGCCAGGTTCCACATGGCTAACCAGAGTTCGAATCCCAGCCCTGGCAACTTGAGAAACATGCCCGGCACATGTGCATGTGAGTCTCAACAGGTGGGAAATAGAGACGGGATCGCAGCAGGGCCACACTCCATGGGAGGGGCTTGCTTTCTTTCCCTGCCTGGGTCTCTCTCATTCTCTCTCTCTGGTAATAAGGAATACATTAAATAAATAAATGAAGTGAATTCTAACCCTGTGCGCCCAGTGTGTGTCCGGCCCCTGCCGTGTGTGTAATACTACCCTCCATTGTGTGCGACTTTCTTTTGTCTTCTGGCCTGTCCGGGAGGGCCCCTGCAGCAGGTCGGAGCTGCCTGTGGGCTGGGCTGCTGGTTTGGAGCCTGGGTCATCCCCAGGGCAGGTAAGTCGTGCAGGGCTGGACTGAATGGCTCAGAGTCACCCCTAAGAAAGTCCACTCTGAAGTCCTGTGACCTGATCCCTGGCCGCAGGGGATCTCTGGGGAAAGAAAAGCACCTACGTCTGTCTACCAGGAGGCTTATTATGCACTTCGGTCTTTTTTTTTTTTGGAGAGGTTTTTGCTACAAGGCGCGTGCACTTGCCAGGAAGACAGAGAGAGACAGAAATCACCCCCCGGGGGTTGGCCACGCCGCAATCCCTTCTCCTCCATTCTCCTCTCGGGATCTTGGGCACGCATGCACACGCACCCAGCTTGAGTTTAAGCTGCCAGGTCTGGGACTCGAACCACGGTTGACTACATGGGAGTTCAGCGACAAAGCCATTATGCCAACTGCTGGTCCCAGCGCTGTGGTCTTTTCTACTGGAGCCCCCACGAACTCAGGGTGGAGGCTGGGCAGAGGGCTGAGGCGGGTCTCCCGTGTGGCCCTGCTGCCTATCTGCCGTAGTCTGTCCCTTGGCTGGAATCTCCTGACCTGAGGGTCAGGAGCAAACGGGCGTGGCTGGAGGGACACCCACTGTCTGGGTGTCTCACGGGGATCGGGGGTGGCATCTGTGCATGAGCTGGAGTCAGGACCTGCCTTCCCACAGCCTCGGCTCCCTCCCTGCCCGGGGTTCATCTAGACCGCCCTTTCCCACGCCGACCCGGGACTCTAACCCAGTGACTGGGGAGTACGGAGGTGCCCAGCCGCTCGCTCCCTGACCCTGCGCCTGTCCTCCCCAGGGCCTGTGCTTCAACTGCAGCGCCTTCGTCCTGTACCTCTCTGCTGCCATTGTGGATGCTTCGTCCGTGTCCCCGGAGAGGGACAGCCACAACTTCAACAGCTGGGCGGCCTCGTCGGTGAGTGGGCCCCGTCCCCACGGCTCAGAGGAGGGCCGAGGCCTGTGCGGGGAGAAGCCCCACTCCCTGCAGGCGAGGCCCCCTGTTAGGACTGGGGATGAGAACAGAGGGCGTGGAGTGGGCAGCGCCTTCGTAATGTCTACGCTTCTGTACCGTTTGCATTTTTGAGTCGTAAATATGTATTCTTTTCTAACTTAAAAAAAAACTAGTTTTAGGAATTTCTCTGAGATTGGCCCTAAAATATCCCACCCCCAAAAGAAGCCTGCTGGAGGTGGGGTGGGGCGTGCCAGAATGATCACATTAAAGCCGATCAAGGGAACATTGAGGTTTATGATATTCTTCACTTATGTGTGAGAATCTGTAAAGGCAGAGAGCACAGATACATGGGACATTAACAATCAGAAGCTGGGGGCCAGCAGGTGGCACAGTGGTTAGGGTGCTGAATTCCCACATGGCCGACTGCGGTTTGAGTCCCAGACAGGGCTGCTCACTTTCTCACTTTGCCTTTCTCTCTTTCTCTGTCTCTCTCTGGTCAAATTAATATTAATAGCAGTTAGTGTAATGGCTATGTCGCTGGACTCCCACATAGTCAACCGCAGTTCGAGTCTTGGACCCGGTAGCTTAAACTCACACCGGGGGCGTGTGCGTGCGTGCCCAAGATCCCGAGAGGAGAATGGAGGAGAAGGGATTACAGCGTGGTCATCCTCCCTGGGGGGGTGATTTCTTGCTTTCTGTCTCTCTGTCTCTCTCTGTCTGTCTGGCGAACGCATGCGCCCTATAGCAAAAATCTCTCCAAAAAAAAAAAAAAACCAAATAAAATAACACGGGGCCAACCCCATAACCTGGTCATTAAGGGATGCCATATCCCACATCAACTACACTTTAAGTCCCGGCCCAAGAGTCTTGAAAAACACGCCAGGCACATGTGTGTGTGTCCCAAACCCCGAAAGGAGGGAGAGATGGAGGAGAGGGGTGTATGGTGTTACTGTGCCCCATTTCGGGAGGTGTTCCCTCCCTCTCCTTCTCTCTCTTCGGTGAACACACGCACCCTCTGGCAATTTAAGAAATAAAAATCACAGTAGGCTCAAGCTAACACATGGCAAGAGTGGGCAGTGGCTGTCCGTTACAAAGAGCGTACCTGTCTCTGCTCCTCGTCATGGGACACACGCCATGGGGCGCTCTGCTTACTCTGGCCCACTGGACTGGTTCAGGCGAACTGACCCTGCAGCAGGCTGAGCTGGGGCTCTGGACTAAAATCGCCTGTACTGATTTAGAAATGAAACACTTTTGGGACCAGCAGGTAGTGTGGTAGTTAAAGATGCTAGACACCCCCACATGGCAGACCATGGTTCGAGTCCCAGATCTGGTGGCTGGCTTTCTCACTTTCTGTCTCTCTCTCTCTCTCTGGTCAAATTAAAATAAATGAATGAATAAATAAAATTAAATAATTTTTTTGGAGAGGTTTTTGCTGTAGGGCGTGTGCACTCTGCGGAAAGACAGAGAGAGACAGAGACAGAAAGCGAGAAATCACCCCGGGGGATCACCATGCCGCAATCCCTTCTCCTCCACTCTCCTCTCGGGATCTTGGGCATGCACGCACACGCGCCTGGCGTGAGTTTAAGCCACCGGGACTGGGACTCAAACCACGGTTGACTACATGGGAGTCCAGCAACATAGCCATTACACTAACTGCTGTTCCCAATAAAATAATTTTTAAAAAGAGAAATGAAACACTTTTCTCAAATGCATCATCATGATATCCATTCCTTTTTTTTATTCCTTTTTAAAAAATTATTTTATTTAATGTTATTATTTATTTATTTATTTATTTATTTATTTTAATTTGACCAGAGAGGGACAGAATGAGAGAGAAAAGAAGAGAGAGCGAGGGAAAGTGAGAAAGTGAGCTTCCAGATCCAGGACTCGAACCATGGTTGGACACATGGGAGTCCAGCGCCCTGAACCACCATGCCACTTGCCGGCCCCACAATATCCATTCTTTAGTGAACTCCCTAGGGTTTTTGTTTTGTTTTGTTTTTTTAACAGAACCACAAGCTTTCCAGCTATATTCCCCCCCAAAAAACAAAAACAAACAAACAAACAAAAAAAAACACAGAAACAGCATAGCCAGAAATGATCTGTAGAGGAAGATAATTGGACCAATAAAGCAGTCTCCGATGAGAAAGCCTGGAGTCAAGGGAATGGGCAAGTGTATGATGCAGCAGAGGGGGATGACAACTTCCACTAATGAGAGTGCACGCTAAATGCCATCTCTGTTGTTTCGTTTTCTCCAGTTCTTCGCCTTCCTGGTCACCATCTGCTACGCCGGAAACACATATTTCAGCTTTATAGCCTGGAGATCCAGGACCTTACAGTGATGGACCGTTATGCTCATTAAAAGGACCCCCAAAAGGAAGACTCTCACTGTAAAAACAGCTGTAGGTATAATGTATATTTCCAGAGAACTGTATTTAACTAACGTTTTTATATACTTACTTAAAGTCGGGGAGCAGTTTGTTACAATTCAACCAGAGTCAGGTTTGCAAATTGCTGTAGCTTATTGTGAACAATTAAGTATCTTGTTGATGTCTTCATAGACCTTATTTTCTCAGACAATGTATAGAGAAATTGCTAATATTAAAAATGTGTCGAGTTTATAAACCTCACTTTTAAAATGCCGGCTTCTTTTTGTGATTAAATGTTGCAAAATTCTAGCAAGTGTGTCTCATTTGAGAACAGGAGACCTTCCTAGTGTGGAAGCCACAGGCTGGGTGCGAGGCGAAACTCTTCCTCTTCAGGGGCCAGCAGGTGGCATAATGGTTAAGGTGCTGGACACTCCCGCATGGTTGACCACGGTTCAAGTCCCAGACCTGGTGGCTTGCTTTCTCACTTTCCTTCTCTCTCTTTCTCAATATCCCTGTCTCTGGTAAAAGTAAACTAAAGGGATGAATAAATAAAATGAAATAATTCTTTTAAAAAGAAAGTCTTCCTCTTCACAGGACTGCTTGGGAGTGATGTTGTCAGGAGACACTTGTCCAGTTGGAGATAGGGTGGCCACAGAGTCATCTCCCCAGGCCTGGGGACGGTCAGTGTCCATGGTTCTCATGTGCTAGCAAATTGGCCCAGAAAGTGTCTAACAAGAGCCATCCTTGGAGATCCGTAATGCTATGCTTGTGCTGGGTGGCACTATGGAGAGTGACTAATGTCCTCATGATATATATATATATTTTTTTTTTGAGAGAGAGAGAGAAAGAGATTATTACTATAGGGTATATGTGCTCACCAGAGAGACAGAGATAGAGAGACAGAAAGCAAGAAATCACCCCCCGGGGGGGATGGCCATGCTACAATCCCTTCTCCTCCATTCTCCTCTCGGGATCTTGGGCACACGTGCATGCACACGCACACGCATGCACCCAGCGTGAGTTTAAGCCACTGGTTCCAGGACTCGACCTGTGGTGGACTACATGGGAGTCCAGCAACATAGCCATTACGCCATCTGCTGGTCCCAATAAAATAACTGTAAAAAAAGGAAAGAAGAAGAAGGGTGCACCCATCAAAAGGATGAGTATTTGAGTAGGCCTTACAGTCATCTTGCACACCACGGGGACATATGTACCATAGTTTGTGGAAACTTCTAGACCAACAGGGCTCGATAGCTCCAGTCTCTGGTGCACATCCGTCGTAAGCTCAATTCTCGGTCTGGTCAGCCCACGGGAAGAACTCAACTCAACAAGGCAGATGGGCACTCGAGGAAGTGTTTTCGGGCAGGACGCTTCCTGCTGGCTCAGCGCTGTACCTTGGGCGATTTTCAGTATGACTTCTTTCGAAAACCAAAAAGCCACAGAGCTGTTAGTTCAGGTGGTCACAGTAAGCAGAGGTGACGCTGTGCACTGTCTGTGTGACTCCCCAGGGTTCTTAGCAGGGCTGTTTCTTTCCCACGTTTGCTGCGTGTGTGTGTATGTGTGGGGCGGGGGGTCCTCCTGCTTTTCTGACTCCCGTTCCTTTTGAAGCTCTGCATCCTCCTTTAGAAGAGAGCTCAGATTTCCTCTGTGTGCAGTTAACACCCAGGCAGCCATGGCCAGTACTGACAAAGAACATTCTTGGGTTGTATTGTAGGTGAGGCTCAAAAGGGAGAGGGCTCAGAATCTCCAAAAATGATCTGTCGAGGGCGTGGGGCAGCAGGTGGCATGGTGGTTAAGGTGCTGGACACTTCCACATGGCTGATCGCAGTTTGAGTCCTGGACCTGGCAGCTTGCCTTCTCACTTCCTCTCTCTCTCTCTCTCTCGCTCTCTCTCTCTCTCTCTCTCTCTCTCTCTCTCTCTCTCTCTCTCTCTCTGTGTGTGTGTGTGTGTGTGTTTCTCTGGTCAAAGTAAAAAATAAATGAGTGAATAAATAAAAAATAAATCATTCTTTAAAAAAAAAATAAAGATCGGTGGGTATAGGTTGTGGATGTGTGGGAGTGGGTAGATGTGGCAGGGGGTACACATCAGCCTACCCCAAGCCCAACCTGTCAAGGAAGATTGAGCTTTTGCAAAGAAAATCTGCAGGCCGCTGGTGCCGTGGTCTTCTGGATTCCCAGCTGATTCTAAGGCCTCACTAGCACAACCTTCCTCTTGCATATTTGGCAGAAAAGGTAAAATAATAGAGTTTTGTGCCCTAGAGGCCAGCAGGTGGCATGGTGGCGAAGGGCGCTGGACTCCCACGTGGCCGACCGCGGTAAGTTGGGAACAGAATTATTTGGTCATCTTCCAAAGGTTCTTCATTGGTATATTTTTCTCTTACAGCAACCTTCACAGTCAGTGAGAAACAGTCATGAGACTAACTTACTTTCTGCTTTTAAAAAAATAAAAGTTGTGGGACCAACAGGTGGTGTGGTGATTAAGGTGCTGGACACTCCCACATGGCTGACCACGGTTCGAGTCCTGGACCTGGCAGCTTGCTTTCTCACTTTCCCTCTCTCTCACTCTGTCCCTCTCTGTTCAAATATAAATAAATAGCTAAACAAAATCATTCTTTTAAAAAATAATAAGTTATAAAAATTTATAAAAAAGAGTTTTGTGACCTGTCCCCCTTCCCACCTCTCCCTTTCGCATTTGGAAGCGCATACACTTAACACGTACCCTGTGGGGGGTTTTTTGGGGTTTTTTTGTTTTGGAGAGGTTTTTGCTATAAGGTGCGTGCGCTCGCCAGAAAGACAGAGAGAGACAGAGAGACAGAAAGCGAGAAATCACCCCCTAGGGGGTATGGCCACACCGCCATCCCTCCTCCTCCATTCTCCTCTCGGGATCTTGGGCACGCATGCCCACACACCCAGCGTAAGTTTAAGCCACCGGGTCCAGGACTCGTACCACAGTCGACCACATGGGATTCCAGTGACATAGCCATTACGCCAACTGCTGGTCACCCCTTGTGGATTTTTAATACTACAATCAAACCTTTATAAAAGGCAGAAAAACAGTAACCCACGAAGGTCTGATTCTGGAAATAATTGAAAAGAAGCCCGCTTTTCTGTTCTGGGTGAGCATATGTGTGTGTCATTTCTGTCATCACGCCACATGGACAGACAGTAACTTCCGGAGTGAAAGCTACCATAAAGCACACTTTGGAATGTTCCCCAAATAGTCTACAAAGTTAGGACTTTTTTTGAACCGGTGGCTCCAAAGGGCCCTGTTCCGAACAACAGTGACTAGATCGTGTGTGCGCACACTCGCTGTCTTCTCCCTCTTGGCGATTTGTCAGGGGGTGGCCCTTTCTGTTACCCCAAGAGCTCACCACAGCCACACTACAACAAAAAGCATTCTTTTTAGCCAAAAGGAAATGACTTCCTGTCGACTGCTGAGAGACCTGTTTGTGAATCATTTGTAAATGTGAGTTTTTAGACAGAGACTGAGTCTTTGTTGCTCGGATGAAGCAATACATTTGAACTGGGCTTGCTTTTATTTATTTCTAAGAAGGAAGGGCCATCCCATGGCTTAGTGGTTAAGACCACTGGATCCCGCATGGCCGACCTCACAGTTCAAGTCCTAGACCCAGCGGCCTGACAGACTTGCTGGGCACGTGTATGTGTGCCCAAAATCCTGAAAAGAGGGAGACATTGGAAGAAGGGATTGTGGAGTGACCATTCCCCAAGGATGAGGTGCTTTTTCTTCTCTCTCTCTCTCTCTGTCTCTGTCTCTGTCTCTCTCTCTGTCTCTGGCAAGGACATGCCTCCTAAGCAAAGGAAAACAAAAAGTAAAAAAAAAAGTCACACACAACACAGCCAATTACAAGAAGAACAATAGATTTCTGAGGGTTTGAAAATACTATTACAGGGGCCAGCAGGTGGCATGGTGGTTAAGGCACTGGACTCCCACATGGCCAACCATAGTTCAAGTCCCAGACCTGGTGACTTTAAAATCACTCTGGGTGACAGCCATGGCTGCCGCTGCTGTCGCTGCTGAGGCTCCTGTCCCCCGACGAACTGCTCCTGAAAGGCGACACAGAAGAGACAGACGGAAGAGGAAGATGCCGAGGAGGTTTTCCAGGGCAGCTTTGTGGACTGGGACCACTCCGTTTATGACCCCGGTTCTTCCTGTTGTCTTTGAGAAGTTGCAAATGGAGCAGCAGCGGCCCATACTTCTAGGGCCTAATACAGCCTATCGGGAGGAATGCCAGGGGCTCTACCTTCCCTTCCTGGAAACATCTAGATTGTTACTGCTTAAGCTGCCTTGGAAGAAGCTAGTCATTGAATAGTGTTTGAACTGCTCATTATTTGGTTTTGGTTTTTTGACTTTAGCACATTGACCTGTCTAAACCTGGAGGGGTGAGTTCTCCCCACATTGTCTCACGGAGAGATTCCCAATGTACACTGTGTCCTCCACGCAGCCTTATTTCTCCTGTCCTCACCCTGACATCAGAGTACAGCCGTGCAGACGGTTACTTCGGCTCTGACCACCCCACTGCTGTCACTAAATTGCTCCTAACCGGAGGGTCTCACTATCTTGTTGTGGGGGTAGGAACAGATGCCCAGACTTCTAATGTGTGGGCTTTTGTTTTTTGGTTTTTGATTCCCCTTAAAGAATGGAGATCCTGGGGAGGGTCGTGCGCACATTATGACAGACAGAACGCATGACAGCTGCGGTATCGGGCCACAGTGAACCCTGTGTGTTGGAGGCAGCTAGCGGCAGCTTCAGCAGCAGGACACGGACTGCAGGGCAGAGCAAGAGCTCCTGTGTTCTGCCCGTCGTGGCTCTCAGGTGCCTGTGTGTCAAAAAACAGTTTTTGTATTTTTTTTTTCTCTTTTTTTTTTTTTTTTTTTTTTTGGTGTGTTTTTTTTCAGGTGGTGTGTGGCTCG